TTTTTACACAAACACCATAAATAATCTGCTACAAGCAGAAGGGGAGGGTACAAAAAGCCACAATTGCAAGCCAATTGATGGCTCCATGCAAGAAGCCCTTGGAAAAATTATACCAGCAATGACACTGTTAGCAAAGATACCGAGTTACAATTTGTTGTAGATTACAGTTTGTTGTCTCAGTCCAGGTAAAGCAGTGTCTCAATAGATTTACTCACAGTCCAGGTAAGTTCTGCAGGCAGGTACCTTGATCTGAAGTCTTGTCCGGTTCTCAGCAACATTGGAAATTCTTCCACCCTCATCCTCATTGGCCCTGGGAAGAAGGCAGGAACTCTGGCAATGCTGGCTAAAGAAAATCCTGTAGTATTCCAGCAGGCACTAAGAAAATAACCTTCTGAACAATTTAGTACATTATCTCAAGGTTTTTTACATTTGAAATAAGCCTTAATAGTGCTCATTATTCATCAGCCTCCAGGTGTGGGAGAACAATTGTAGTTTAGTTATTGGCATTGAAAATGACCCAACATCTGTCTTCTGCTGGCTGTAGCATCCTGGGCAGCCCCAGATGGCCCTGGGGACTCTCCTGGACTCAAACTGCTTCGGGGCACAGGGAGCAAGAGCCCGTGAGACTGTGCCTCCAGGTCAGGTTTGGCTTTGGGCTCTCGAAGTGGTGTCCCACTCCCTGGGTGGGGGTGGGGAAGAGCCAGCTGCCACCACTTGGAAAGTCCTTGCTGCGCCATGACCGGCTTGCGCACATGGCAGCTGCCATGCCGATTCACGCACCCTCTAGTAACGAAAAGTAATAGCCTTTGGCTGCAACTTTTTTCCTGATAATCCTTCCTCCGCTGAACTTTTTTCTTTCTGACTAGAGTTCCTGGGCTTCCATCAACACATGCCTTAACTGCTCTTGGTTCCACTGAGGTGCCTTCTTCCCTTAGTAATTTACTTCTCACCCCTTCCATATTTTCGTCACAAAGACAATACAATACACTGAGACAAAACAAGACACAAACATATTGTATCAATCCTCTCCATTTTCTCAAAATGGCCATTTTTCCTCTGGCCCTATCTGTCTAGGGACGAGCAGATTTGCTCCTGTTCTATCTATGGACGGGCAGCTTTTTTTTTGTATCTTACCCCCGAGTGTCCTAGGGCTCCCCGTATGGGCCACCATCTACCGCAGTCCGGCTGCAGCAAAATAACCGGGGGGTGACAAGCAACTTGTGTACATTGATACAGCAGGAGTTGGAGCCGTTTATTGTAGGACAGGAGGGGTATATATACTTTACACACAGCTTATCTTAATTAACACAAACTAGATACAGCAGTCAACCAATAAGGAATCTCCACACTTAATGGCTCACTGGCAGTTACTTCACAAACCACTCTTTTTGGCAAAATGCCAGGCGCCATCTTGACTTGTTTACAGACCCTAACAGAGGATAGCTAAGACATTATAGAAACTAAATGGTGTGTGTATAATTCTAACAACTCTGCTAGTGTTTCTAAAGTCTTAAATGGCGTCCACTCATAAATCAGTCACATGGTAGACCCCACCTTAACTTTAATAAGCTACCCAACTTCATGGTTTTCTGGGACTGGCTAAAAAATTGCTCGTGTGCTAGTTCTTTACAGAAAACATGTTATTTTCTTGCTTATTGCTCTTTTTTTTTGTTAAAGATTTTTTCCCAACAATACTTTTATTCTATTTATTTATTTATATGTGGTGATGAGGATTGAACCCAGGGCCTCACACATGCTAGGCAAGTGCCCTACCACTGAGCTACAGCCCCAGCCCTTATTGCTGTCTAATATGATGTCTTCCCTATAATGCCCCATCTGGTTATCTGCCAACTGCCACCATGGACCTCTGGAATGCCCTGAAGGGCCAGATGCCCAAGCTACCAATAGCTTTACAAGTAGAATCTAAATCTAAGCTCCCAATCTACTGGGGGCCCTTAGAAATGCCTCTGTAAGAAGACCCTATCTGATGTCCCCTGTCAACACCTCTTTTCACTTGAAGCAGCCAGAGTGGTCATAACCCTCTCTCCCAGTTAGGAAAAAGTTATGAACACTTTTTCAGAGGTAGGGGAATGACATGGCTTTCAGGTCACCAAGCTGTGCAGCCAGCCCACTGGTCTCTGCTGAGAAGGAGCAGAAGAGTGGAGGAGTGGTGGGTCAGCAGAGCAGCAGCTCAGGGGTGCTGGAGCATGGGCTGTGATCACATGGAGGTCACCATGCCAACACAGGCCTAAGACCCTGCAGGCCAGTATTGAAGTGAGCCAAGGCACACTGACCAGTGAGGACACCTGATGCAGGAACCCACTGCATGCAGTGTTGCAGCTCCAGAACTCCTAAGCATGCCCAACCACTGACTGCAAGCTCCAGCTTCCCGAGGAGAAGCAGGAAAACAGAAGTAGGGCAGAATGAATGGGATTGCAGGGCTAATCAATAGCATTTGGTCCTTTTCCAAAACCTAATTAGCATAATTTTGGACCAATAGCATTATACTTTTCCAAACCTTGATTAGCATAATTTGGAGCCATAGCATTGACCCAAGTGCTATATAAACCCCTAAACTAGAAATGGAAACCCCTCTTGGGTCCCCTCTTTCCCTGCAGGACTTCTGTTCCTGTTTTTCAATAAATCCTACTCTCACACTCACTCATCCTAATCTGTGGATTTCATTCTTTGAATTCACAAGACGAGAAGTCAGAAAGAAGAAAGAATGGATGGTGAGCTGCTGGGGTCTGCTGCAATATTGGAGGGCACAGCCTGTCATTGAGACCTCCAACACTTCTCAGCTGCAGAGGTCTGCAGCTTGTGCAGATGCCACCTGCCAGAAGAAGCAGAGAAACTCTGGTTTCATTATTATTGATAAGGAAGACAATTTTAAAATGAAATATTCATTGTAATTGAAAATACAGAAAGTATTTTCATGAATATGAAGTAAATAATTTTTTTTTTTTGAGACAGGGTTGGCTGCCGGGTTTCTGTTCTCATGACTAAAAGGCTCAGGGGTCACTCCAGTTAAACTGGGCTAACTGGGCTGCATGAAATAACCACACAAGAGACACAAATACCTTTTTCTTTGAGGTCACTGTGGCAGCTCCTCTGACCTTAAGGGTCTGCAGGAAAAGAGAGAGAGAAAGAGCACGTGCTGACCCCTTTTATTGAGGAGAAGCTATTCAAATGAGGCCAGGGGTCAGGTTTCAGGGGGCTGAGTCTATCTTCATGATGTCCACCATCAGCAGGTTGACTGACACCTGGGTAGGCCACACCCAAGGGCACAGTAAGAGAAGGGGACACACACAAGGCACTTCCATGGAAGATTCTACCCTAAACAGGGCAAGGGGCTATATTACAAAGGAACAGGTGAGCATAGCTCCACCCGTGGGGCTGTAGCAAGACATCCCCATGCACGAGACACCTACCCTCGGACCCAAGAAGGGTGGGAAAAGCTCTGCCACATTTCTGTGACCCAGCTGGGGAGTGTGACTCAGTCACTTACAAGGTTGGTCTCCCACAGCTGGCGTCACTATGTTGCCCAGGTTAGACTGAATTCTTGGGCTCAAACAATCCTCATCCCTCAGCTTTCCAAATAGCTGGGACTATGGGTATGTGCACCCCAGCGCTTGGCTTGCAAATAGTGTTTAAAATTACATACAAATTATGAAACCATTTTTGGTGTCTTGCACCATCTTCACATTTTACAGTAGATTTGAGATTAAACATCAAAATACCAATAGATATGTATATTGGTTATATAAAATTTTAGCATGTAGTATTGTTTGCTCCTAAGCTAAACAAAAATAAAATGAAAAGACTTTGCCACTCTGAACAGGACAAGCAGAGTAAAGCTATTCTCAATGTTAATCTGACAAAATTGAAAGACAACTGTTACCGTTTTATTTCCTCTGTTTATAGAGGAGAAAAACTGGCATGTTTGTCCATAATGTTAATATAATAGTCTAAAAAGAAAACTTCGACATCACTGATTGTGAAGGGGTGGATAAATCCTTGTTTCATCTGCTACATTTGAAAAAACTGTTATCTCATCAGATAATGGGTCACTAAGTCAATTGAACATTGAGGTAAAGTACAAGCAAAAGTAGAATGTATACCCATTACAATTTTTTGGATTGGAGAATAAGAGGTAAAATGTCAAAAACAATGTAGTAAAATAAAAACAGCAAGGAAACATTAAGATGAGCACAAAATAGATCATCAGAGATACAGTGCGTTATCATAGTCAGAAACTGGTTAAATATCCTTATTAGAAAGATCCCATTTGAGGCTGGCATGATGATCACATGCCTGTAATCCCAGTGACTCAGGAGGCTGAAACAAGAGGACCACAAGTTTGAGGTCAGCCTCAACAATTTAGCAAGATCCTGTCTCAAAATAAAAAGGGCTGGGGATATGGTTTAGTGGCTAAGCACCCCTGGGATCAATCCTTGGTACCCCAAACAAAACAAACAAGACAACAGGAACAAAAAAATAAACTCAATTGTACATATACATTTTTATCAAATGAAGGATAAAAGTTTTTTTTTGATAATGGAAATCATAAGTCAGTCCACAGAACTAAAAAGCAACATTTTTATTAGGTAGAATTGAAGAATATAAAAAATATATATTTGGGGGACAGTTTCATAATGCTCCCCAGGTTGTTCTTGAAATCCTGGGCTTAAGCAATCCTCCTGTTCCAGCCTCCAGGGAGCTGGGACTATAGGTGTGTACCACTGTGCCTGACTCCAACAAAATATTTCATGTTTACTAAACATACAATATAGGATGTAACAGTTAAGAAACTTTATGTGAGAAATTACATGACATTCATGTAAAACAAATACTCCGTATCTTGATGTGTGTTTTTACTGATGTAAAATGCACATATATTTTAAAACACTATACCCTTAAAATTAGTGTAAGTATTGAATTTTTTTGAATAATCTTTCAATTAAGAAAAAACATATAGCAAAAGAAATTTACCACAGTGTTGTCAGACTATAAAATATTCTCAGTAGCCCCAGTTACATAATTGAAAAGATAATTCCCAAAATTAAATGCAAACATTTTTTTGTTGATTTTAAATTTTTGTGTAAGTTGAAAATTAAGCTTTTAAAAGTATACATTTTGAAGACACAATAAATTTATAGAGATGTAAGATAGCAAGAACTTCTTAGCCAGGCATGGTGGTGCACTCCTATAATCCCAGCAGCTTGGGAGGCTGAGGCAGGAGGAGTATGAGTTAAAAGCCAGCCTCAGAAACTTAGAAAGCCCCTAAGTAAGTTTTCTTTTTAGATCCTGGAAGTTTTCCTTTTAGATCCTGTCTCTAAATAAAATACAAAAAAGGGTGGGGATATGGCTCAGTAGTTAAGCACTTCTGGGTTCACTCCCTAGTACCAAAAAAATTTTTGTATTTTTTATAAATATTTTTTTAAAAAATTAATTTAAAAAATTTTATAATTTTTAAAAGAAAATTGTAATCCAGGATGTAACATGAATAAAATATCTTTATAGCAGATAAATTGGTGGAGGGAAGCCTTGTCACTGCCTGAAAGAATACCATTCCCAACCCACCCCTTGTTCTTCTCTGACGGCATGCATGAGGGGTGCTGCAGATTGAATGCAATTTGCTTTCCAAGGGCTCATGGGTTGAAAAACTTGGTCCTTGGTGTAAGGCTGTTAAGAGGTCTGGGATCCTTAAGAGGTGGGGCTTGGTGGGAGGTCTCTAGATCATTGGGGAGTGCCTTTGGAAGGGGTTGATGTAGTTTCAAGGGACCTCAGCTGTGCTTTGGTTTCCTGTCTTAGGATGTGATCTCTCCTGTCACATGGGCTCCTGTCATTGTGCTGTCCAATAAGGGCTTCACCAGAGGCAAGCCCATGCTGGTGCCATGACCTTAAACCTCCAGAATTGTAAGCTACATAAACCTCTTTTCTTTATACATGATCAGCCTCAGGGATCATGCTATAGTAACAGAAAAATGGATGAAGACAAGGGGGGGTTGGAGTTACTCTTCATAGGCAGGTGAGTGTGAAAGGTTCTTTACTGGACTTTGCTGATGTTTGGTTGGAGTAAAGCCATTATTGCTCCCAAATTGCATATCTTGTTAGACTTCCCTTGTCCTGGTCCTTTGAGTAGAGGGAGGACTTTTGAACTTGCTTTGTTGGTGTTCTTCCATTACTCTTTCTGGGTTGTTGACTTCTTCAATTCCAAGTCGTAGAAAGTAAAAGGAAATCCAGGGAACTCACCAACACATTGTCCTTTGGACCTGAGGACTCCGGTCTGCCTTTTTCTCTCCACTGTTCATAGTGTTATCTTTGTTTTATAATTTTTCGGGGCTTTTAGATTTACCTAGTGGGAAGAACAAGAAAGATGGTGAATTACTCCACTGAAGCATAAGTTTCACTACTGTGTTTTATTAGTAATAAAATATTTAAAAGGGGGCTGTGGCTGTGGCTCAGTGGTAGAGCACTTGCCTAGCATGCGTGAGGCACTGGGTTTTATCCTCAGCACCATATAAAAATAAGCAAATAAAATAAAGGTATTGTGTCCATCTACAACTAAAAAAAAATTAACGGAAAAAAACCCTCAACATTTTAGTATCTTTAAAATTTTAAATCAATGCCGCAGTCTGGCTGGGCACAAATCACGAGCCACTGAAGCAGGAACAAATTTTATTTTTTCTACTGCAAGAAAAAACCTCACACACGCTCCTGGGGAATCCTCCTGAAAGCCACGAGGCTCCTGCAGGAACCCCCAGCGGAAAATTCTCTCTGGGAAATCCCTCCTCCTGCACTTCGCCAACCAATGGGAACTCCCGGGGTATCCCGTGAGAACTAAAAATAGCGCGAGAACTCAAAAATAGCACTAGAACTCAAAAGTAGCGGCAGAGGCGGATATTAATGCCTTGCCTGTCAATCAATACTGTTGGCAAAATGCCAGGGGCCATACAGACTCGGCTGTGGCTCTCAGCAAATCAATTCATAAAATGATGCACATTTCTAGATTTCTGTGTGACATTTAAATACATGAACAATTGCATAATGTTCAAATAAAGGGAATCATATGTATCTCTTTTTCCTGTTTCTTTGGAACTATCCCCCCTGGTCCCCTACCCATTTTGCACTGGGCCCTGAAAATTATATGGAAAGCCCTGTACTCTGCCTGCTTTCTCCACACTTTGTGACCAAATGGTCCCTAGACTATAAAACCTCCTAATCTTGGAAGAAAGGACTTCTCCTGGAACCCTGGAAAGTTGTGCTCAGGATGAGCCCCCGTTTCCCAGCATGGATGTCAGGAGGGCTAGAACTCTGCCCATCCTGGCCTTCTGGAACCCTCAACCTAATAGACTGCAGCATGCTATGCCATTGGCTTGTTAGGGGAGAAATTTGCTGCTCCCTCAAAGTACCAAATGAGTTGAGGCTTCCTGGAGGATTGTGTGTGATTGACTTGACAGGTGTTAGGTGGGCCCTGCTATGGTTTGGGTGTGATTTGTCCCCCCACAAAGTTCATGTACTGGAGGCTTGGTCTCCAGGGTAAAAGATTGAGGATGGCAGAACCTTTAAGAGGTGGAGTTTACCAGTAGGTGTGATTAGGCGATGGGGAAAACCATCCTGGGAAGGGATCAATGCCTGTCTTGGAGGAGAGCTTAGGTATCCTGGGACTGGGTTGGCTCCCCATGGAGTGGGTTGATATAAACCAGGTTCAGCTCTCTGGTCTTGCTCTCTTGCTTCCTCTCTCCTCATGTGACCTCTCTCTTCTGCACACACCACTAACTACCCTTGCCCATGCTCCATCTGTGATGTCATCCACCACAGTGAGCCAGAAGACCTCAGCAAAGTCTGACAGATGGGCTGCCTGATCTTGGACTTTCAGCCTCCAAAACTGGGAGCTAAAATGCTCTTTTCTTTTTAATGTGCCCAGACTCAGGTATTTTGTTATATCAGCCCCAAATGGACCAAGACAGGCTGCAAGGACCAGCAAATGGTAAGGTTCCAGGTAACTTCTCCTTTTAAGATAGATCTGGGATTGATTGTTTTGGGGACCCTGAGTTGAAGATGTAGATAATTCACTAACTAAACCCATCTGTCCATCAAAATTTTCTCTATTAACCTAATATCTGCTTACTTAAAAGTCATAATTAAGTGCTTATATGGCACCACCAGTGGGGATTCCCAAAAAGGAAATAAAAGAATAGTTTCAATAAATTAAGTTTTGTTACTAGAATTTTGCAGCTTAATAAAACGTCTATGAACAAGCCAATACCATTTTAAAAAACACATGCTTTCTGTTTTCAGCTTATAGGAAATTTAAGGGCATAAGAAGTAACATAGTTATCTTGTTCTGTTTTCTATTGCTACAATAAAATGCCTGAGATTGGGTAATTTATAAAGAAAGAAGTTTATTCTGGTTCATGGTTCTGGAGTCTGGAAAATCTAGGATCACACAGGAACATCTGGCAAGGGCCACATGCTACCTCAACTCCCTGTGGAAGGGCAAGTGGGTGTATTCACAATAGAAAGAGCAAGAGGAACAGCCTTGCTTTATAACAACCCACTCTCAAGGTAAAGAATCTGGTGAAAATGAGAACTCACTTCTTCCAAAGGGCACTAAGACATTCATGATGGCTCCATTCCCCTGATGTCAACCCTCCCGCTTACTGCCAATCGTCTCCATCTCTAAGAGTCACTCCAGCATTGCAGGATTAAGATTCCACCCCAGGAGCTTGGGGACTCACTCAGACCATAGCAATAATTGAAAACTTCAACACGGCTGATTACCAGATACCAGATTCCACTCCCCAGGATGGTCCAGATGAAGTCAGATCTGGCTGAGGGCCGGTCGGGGGGTGTTCCTGCAGAAAGGTGAAGAGGGACATCAGGGGGGCAGGGGGAGGGGACAGGGGGTTACAGACAGGTGGAATTGAAGGACAGTCATATGGTTACCCAGAGATGGGAGATGGAGCCTCAAAAGAAACTGCAACCAAGCTCTGTCCCCTGCTGCCTCTCCCCCAGCCTGGGCTAGAATCACAGACTTACCTGGGCACAAATCCTGGAGATGGGGGAGGACCTGCAGTCAGGCTTCATGCCTGGGACCTTGAATGTCACAACTGCCTGGTTCTGAGAGCCCAGGGATTCCAGGCAGCAGTGCTGGAAGCAGGGATAGAAGATGCAGTTGGGGACACACAGCTGGGTCGCATTCAGGGGCAGGATGGTGTCATTGTGACAGCACTGCTCCAAGGGGTTGTAGGGCTGGTCCCCACACCTCGGTGCTGGCTGGCACAGCCAGGGGCCAGTGTCTGGAAGAGTCAGAGCTGGGTGGGCTCAAAGGGCCAGGGTAGGACACGCCCTCCCCCTCCCTGCCCCCTGGCAGTGAAAATCTCCTCACTGCACTATCCTCACCTGTGACTCCTTCCACGTCTGACCTCAGGAGTTGAACAATGAAGACAGAAACTGAGAATAGAAGGGAAATGAAAGTGATGCTGGGAGTGTAGCCAACCGGTCATGATCAAGGGTCCCAGGGTGATGTCACTGAGCTTCTTTGGTTGCTGGTAATGGCAGAGTGGATTTTAGGTCCTGGGGTCTGGGCTGGCAGGTGAGGGAATGCAGGGAGGGCTCTGGGAAGGGTGAAGCTTCTGAAATTTGCAGGTGGACAGAGGGTTGCAGTGTGGTCAGAGATGACAGGGGCAGTAGATAGAGGAGAGAACTGAGTTCAGAGGAACAAAGGGGTGAGAGAACACTTAGGCTCAACTTGGGGTGGAGTCTCCTTACCATAGATTCTGAGCAGCATGGTTCTGCTTCGGCTGCAGAGCAGGAGGAGGCTGAGCAACAGAGAAACTATGTGGGACCTTGGGCTATGGCTTATAAAGGGGTAATGAAATGCCTAGGGAGGAGTCCAGTGGGGGCCTTCCCATCTTGTGTTGCAACAGACGCGGTGCCTTGTGGGAACGGCTGTGCACAAGGACCTGCATATGAATCCACATACCTGTTTTCAGATTGATTGCCAAATGCTATCCTTTCAAAATTGTGACTCTGACAAGTGAATTTTCTTCAGTCCTGCCAGGGGAACTCATTTTGTGTGCAGACACCCACCAATCACTAGCTGTTTCTAGGATCCCATGCTCCTCACCTTGGAAGTTTCAAGGCTCTCTTCACCTACAACTCAATCCACTTCTCCATTTGAACTGTATAGGATTTTTCAGGAATTTGGGGGGAATTATGAACTTTCAGCCTAGAGTAGAGGAAGAGCAGAGGCCAGGGAGAACAAAAAAGGGACAGAGAGTCAGGATAGAGCTCTGGGATTCACAGAGCACAAGGAAGGACAGCACCTCTATTTGCCCAATTCCTTGTCCTAGAAATGCCCCATCCATGTTTCTTGCTGTTATTTTATTGTCATCATCACTCTTATGTGTGTGACCTGGAGTAGTATGACATTGTGCCTCTCCCCAACTCTGTTTTCCAGGGGCTTCCTCTGGGTCACAGTGAAAGGGAGGGTGAAGGAGGGATCAGGCAGAAGCATTAGAGTCACAGAAGCACTTTGTAACATTAGGGAGGCTCCTGTTCCTTCTCTGTAAACTGGGTATGTAGTACTTGATTGATCTGCCCACACATGAGGACTCGCCCGCCTCCCCTCCTTTTGCAGGTGTGTCTGTGAGGATGGCCAGGTTCTCACCACGCCTTCTCCTGCCCCTCTTGTAAAGAACACCCTTGGGTGACTGCCACACCTTCATTACACAAAACAGCTCTGGGAAAACAGATCATTTCCATCTTAGATAATTAATTGATGCCACATTCCTGACTCTGGGCTGGCAACCCAGAAGTTCATGACACATGAGAAAGAAATCCTGAGTGAACAAACTAACTGTAGAAGAAAATAATCAGGGCGATCAGCAGGAGAATCAATCTCTAACTGCAGTGTCTGTGTGGAAAGTCCCATGGAACCTACAGCCAAGCCAGAGTCCAGGCTGATAGTTTCTGGGGTCAGTAAAACCCAGCGCACCCTCTGTGGAGTCAGAGTCTATTACTTCAAAGACAGAGAAAGCAAGATGAGCCCCAGAGTTAGCTTTTCATGTCCCTTGCACAGGATGATACTCAAACCAAAGGGTCCCCATGACTGCAGTGAGAGTAATGGGACACTTTATTGTCACCTAGGCAACTCTGTGCCGCAGGCAGGCAGTTTACATCCTGCAGCTGAGCCCTCGTACCTGCCCCATTGGTGGGGTGACAGGGAGAGACTTCCTTGTGACAACCTCCTGAAATGGATGTAGATGAGAATGACTTTGTCCCTACATTGATCTATGGATTAGCACAACTCCAATGAAGGAACATTGGTAAATACAAACAAGTGAATTCTAAAATGTGTAGAGAAAGGTGAGTCAAACCAGAACAGAATATGTTGGAAAGGAAAAATATCCAAGGACTTGCACTCCCTGATTTTAAGAATCACTGTGAAGTCACTCTCAAAAAGACAGGGTTAACAACTGGGAAACAGATGGACATAGGATCAGTAGAACATGATAAACCAGAAATAGACCCATCCTATATGGCCACTTGATTTTTTTTTTTAGGTATGGGGGATTGAATCCAGGGGCGCTTAACTACTGAGCCATATCTCCAGCCCTTATAGTTTTTTTTATATAGAGAAGATTATGATAAGTTGCTTAAGACCTTGCTAAGTTGCTGAGTTTTCCTTTGAACTTGCGATCCTTCTGCCTCAGCCTCCCCAGTCTCTGGGATTATAGGTGGGCACTGCCACGCCCTGGGACCATTTGATTTTTGACAAAAGTGCAGAGGAAACATTGTCTCCTCACTGAGTAATGGTGGAGGAATGAAGCACTCATGTATAACTATAATAATGATATTATAATATTAATATAGCATAATATAACATAGTATTGTAGTATGGTAACTATAATTTAACTAGACTTCATAGTTTGTATAAACTTGAAATCAGAATGTATCAACTATGAAATGTAAAACTATGAATCTTCTAAAAGAAAATGTTGGAGAAAACATTTATGGCCTGGAGACATGACATCTAAAACACAGAGCATAGAGGCAAATAGTGATCAATGGAACTTTGTCAAAACTTAAAACTTTTTGGGGCAAATACTTGCCCATCCCCTATCTGACACGGGACTTGCATCTCAAGTATGCAAATATGTGGGAAATATATATCTAGCATATACAAGCATCCAAAAATCTCTTAAAACTAAGCAGGAAGAACAACCCAGTAAAGGTGAGAGCAGCACTTTACCAGAGAGGATATTCAGGTAGCAAATGAGCATTTGAAAAATATTCAACATTGTGAGTCTTTGGAGGACCAAAAATAAGGCCACATTGAATGACCACCTTGCATCTACTATAAAGGGGGGAAATGGTGGTGGAAATGCAGAATGGTACAGTGTTCTAAAAAACATATTGTCAGCTTCTTATAGAATTAAAGATGAACTTGCAACATCCCCTGATGCTCATGCTCCTGGTCATTCATCCCAGACATGCAAAATTTATCTTCCCAGCTGGGTGTGGTGGCACATGCCTGTAATCCTAGTGGCTCAGGAAGCTGAGGCAGGAGGGTTGCAAGTTCAAAGCCAGACTCAGCAACTTAGCAAGAGCCTGTCTCAAAATAAAAAATAAAAGGGCTAGGGATGTGGCTCAGTGGTTAAGTGCCCCCAGGTTTAATTCCCAGTGCCAAATAAACAAACAAACAAAAAGCCCCTCAAAACAGAAAAAAATCAAAACACACACACACACACACACACACACACACACACACACATACACCTTCCCATGAAAATGTATGTGAATATTCATAGCAGTTTTATTTTTAATAATTGGAAACTAGAACCACCACAGGAGTCCATCAACAGACGAGTGTGCAGCAGCCCAAGGATCTCAAAGGCAAACCCAGTAAATGGAGATCAGAGGATCTCAAATCCTGATGGAAGGTCATGTACAGTGCAATTCACTTGGAGAATATTCCTGGGTGGGCCAAGCTGTAAAGATGGCGAACAGACTGTGGTTCCAGGGGTTAGTAGAAGGTGACCACAAAAGGGACATCATGGGGGAGCTGTTCTGTGAAGAGACAACATGGACAGAGCCTGAGAAACAGGAGGCCTTCAGGAAGGTGGGCCCCGGCTATTGCAGGTAGCTGAGGGTCTCTCCCTCCACCCAGCAGCCTCACACAACCAGGAGGTCTATGGGGGTGAGTGAAATTCTCTCTGATTTTCAGTGTGTGGGTATTCTTCACTGCATCAATTTCTACCTTAAAAATATTTTCTGTGGCAACACTAAGTCAAATGAAGTCATCAGTGCACATGTAGAAACCAGGTGGGCAGGAGGCAGGTCAGCTGCTCCCCTGCTGGGGTGTTTCTGGGCTTATTCCTACCTGCGGACTCCTCTGCTTCTTCCCACTCATGTCCCTGAGGGTTTATCCTGAATAGGTCCCAGGAGTGGATCTGCTCAGGTGCTGATAATTTAGAGCCTTAGGTAAGACCGACACATTTCATTTACAATGGATCTTCCTACAGGACACATTGGTTTTGGTGTAGAAGGAACAGGTCATGTTTTCCTGTTCTAATGAGTGTTGTTCATTAGATATCCGGGCTCGACACTGAGTCAAATCTTAACATCTGGGCTGGGGTTGTAGCTCAGTGGGAAAGTGCTTGCCTGGCATTTGTGAGGCACTGGGTTTGATTCTCAGCACCACATATAAATAAGCAAAACAAAGGCCTGTTGACAGCTAAAAAAATATTTTAAAAAATCTTAACATTGTATTACAGTAGTTGTCTCCAGTGCTTTATATCAACAAGCAACCCTGATAAGCTTTTATGTGGTTTTCTAAGACTAGTTTTGTGATATTTTGGAAAATTTCTTGGGGTTGTTAAATGAGATAGAAGTCATAGCATGTAAGTTCCTAGGTCTGGAAAAATTTCTATCCAACATGTTACCCAAAAAGGATTCGATTTTGTAGTAATTAGTAAGGAATATGCCTGGAGATTCCAATTTTCATGGTGTTCACAAATATGTTTACCTTTTTAAAAATTTTTAATTCTAATTAGGTATATATGACAGCAAAATGCATTTTTATTCATTGTACACAATTGCATCACAACTTTTCATTTCTCTGGTTGTACACGATATAGCGTCACACCATATGTGCAGTCATATGTACCTAGGCTACATCTCATTTCACCTTCTTTCCTGCCCCCATGCCCTCACCCCTCCCTCCCTACCTTTTTTTGATGCTTATAGAGTCTGATGTAAGCACATATCATTATTGCATTAAGTTTGAAGAGTAAATGGAAGCTTAGAGAGGTTAAGTGCTTTGAGACAAACCCCACAGCTTGTGTTAGAGCTGAGCGCCAAGAACCAGGAAAAGGAAATGTGAGCACATTAGTTGAAACAGTGAAGTTACTAAAGCCAGGAACTAAGAACAGCCTCAGTCTCTGGGGAGTGTCAGTGGGGTTGCAATACAAGGAGGGAGGGAGACTTTCATTTTTAATTA